TGAACCCCGCCTGCTCCTGGCCCTCGCTTGCCCACGCCTCTGCTAGCGAGCAGCCTCCGCGTTCTCCTTTCCCAAGGTCTTGCGCTACGAACGCCCCCGCTTAACGCTTCTGACCCAGTTCGCCTTTGCTGGCGGCCTCGGGGGGGGTTTTGCGTTGCGGCAGACCTGCCGCGCCGGGTTCATCTCGCGAGCCCGTGCTGCGCTGTTCTCGCTGTGGCTTTGAATTTACGCCGTGTAATGCTGCGAAATGTGCGGTACGTAATGCACGTGCACCCCCTGGGCTTGTCGTTGCCTCTTTCGGTTAATTAATTCTTCAAATCGACGCTCCTCTTGACGCGTGTTTTTCTTCTGTGCTCGTTGACAGGGAAAGCTGACAAATTCTGGCACTCGGGGAAGATTTGACACGTGTTTGTATAATATTAGATGATTTTAGGCTTCTCGGACTCTTGAAGCTTGTTAAGTTCTCTGGGAAACGTGCCTCTGCGAACATCCGTGCCCTCTGCCTCTTCCTTGGGCTGGGAGTCTCCGCGCGGATGCGTCGGCGCGGTTGGACTGTCACGCACGCGTCCTGTGCGTGACGGTGACCTTGACGGACCCCACGTGAAATGCGAGGCGCCCGGCTGGCTCCCGCCGGCGCTTCTGCCTTTGCCAGGGTGGCTCGCGGAGTCTGGGCTCCAGCATACGCTTCCAGCCGGGTGTATAGATGTCAGTGTTGGTATGGAAAGCAAAGGGTGGAAAACGAAACGAAAAATGCCTCCTGGAAATCCGGAGTTCAAATTCTTGTGGGCTTTTTTTATTTTTCTTCGGGGTGCTTTTAGTCTAAGCGTGTCGGTCCTTTGTTTAAGACCAAAGGGAATGGTTTTGTTGAGCGCTCAGTGGAAAGAGATTTCAGTTTTTCAGCTTAAAGATGGCACTCGAGAACTTCAATCTCGGCTTTTCTCAAACTGAGATTTGCTCTTTCTCTGCAGGATTTGCTTCGCGTTTAGGGGGGGGGGGAAAAAAAAGTATTCTCCCCCAAACGGCCAGCGTCTGAGGGCTTTTCAGCAGTGTCCTCTCACTCCCTGCCTGGGCGCAGGAGCATTTGCAGAGGAGTGCTCTTGCTCTCAGCTCTGCACGTGATTTATTGGAGAAGGCAGGCTCGAAGATCCGTTTTGGAGCTGGGGAGAGGATGGGGAATCTCCCTGCGGAACGGCAAAAGAGCGTTATAATTCTGGCTTGGCCTGTCATTTACTCTTCCCTTACCTAATTAGGTAGGTAAAACGAGGGAAAACATTTTCACGGTTTGGGAAGCGTTGCATACACCAGAATTGCAGCCGAAATGTTGGACCGCGTTAAATTCTGGTAAAAATCCGGGTTGCGTTCTGATCGGGCTCTCCTTTAACGAGACTGAAGATACTCCTTCAACTTGCCGTGGTTTGTTCCATTGTATTCTATGTAGAATTAGGGTGCTGCTTCGCAGCGTGCTACTCGCTGGGGTCTCCAAAGTAGAAGAATACATCTGGGAAGGATGCGAAAGTCGGCCCAGTTTGGGGCTTTCTTCTTTTAAATAAAACTTTGTAGCCGGTCGGCGTGAGTAGTTCATGCTAGATTAAGACAGCAAAAGTGACTGGCTGTATCTGACTTCCTCTGCAGGGGAGCTTCAGACTGGCAAGGTCGCCTCTGGTGTGCGACCTCTCCGCAAATATTAGCGGAGTGACATGAGCGGCAGGGAAGGGAAGCAGTCCCTAGCCAGGCCCGCGTTCTGCGGGCGAGGCGGCTTGCAGAGTGCTCGGGCTTTGCAGGGAGGACCCCGTAGGGCTCTGAGGCGGGTGGAGCTGGCTGTACCCTAGGTTTTAGTTCCTTTCGGAAGACTCTTCCAGCCTCTGTGGATTAAAGAAAAGACCAGCAAAAAAAAGCAATTTGTGCTAGGGTAGTGTTGAGGGAAGAAATGAGTTTATAATCGTATCAGCCTTATTTGCCCATTGGAGTACAATCCGCTTCCGTGCTTTATTAATTATCAAATATTAATGCAATTACAACCCTGAGATCCAGGAGTTTTATCTCGGATATGTACAGAGACAGCAGTAATTTTGTTTTCTCCGTCAGCTCTTCAGTAGCTTGTAGCAGCTCTTGTCCCTTGTGCTCTTGAGAGCCTTTATGGCTGGGCTCGGGTCATTTTGCACAGATTCCTAAAACCACTTTAAAACAAGCCTTCATCAGCTCTGAACTCGTGGCGGAGTCAAAGACCTGCAGCTCGTTGCTATTGAGTCATCCGTCAAAGTCAGTCTGTTGGTCGGGAAATCTGCTTCTCCTGGCTCACAAAGTCAGTTATGGAGCAGGAAGTTACTGCAGAATAAACCAGCCTATTCCTCTTAAGCGGGTAACGGTATAACTAGCAGGGGTTTATTTCTGGAAG